ATGATTTATAATGGTTGGAGATGGCTTGAATGGGTAATGAAGAAAAACTTATGGCAATATTTTGACTACTTGAATAGTTGGAATAATCAAGAACATTAAATAATTAGACACCCTAATTTCAATTAGTTGATTATATTTACTTATGCAATGATCGACTTAATTGTAATTTTGATTAATTCACCATTGGAATAATTGAAAACAGCAATAATCAAAAACACCAATTTTTATTAGTTTACAAGACACTTATTGATTATCAATTATATTGATTAAATTGCCCAACTTTACCTGTGAGGCTAGTCAGATGTTTTTTTCCCATATCTCTCCCATCTATTTCCTTGTTGAACGATCATTCCAATCCCTATCATATTTTAGATCTTGTTCTGGCAGTCCAATGGTATCTTACTTGGACCATCGCTTTTCATGGAGACCACCATCATCTGTTTTTATCCTGGCATACCTATCTCCTTCTGCTTTAACTAGTTGAGTTCTTCACTTGATCTGTTTGTCATATTCTGTTTTGGGATAGGCTGATCATAGACATTTTTATTGTCACTCTCATTAGATTCGAAATATTCCAGCCTCTTTTGCTGCCTTTCAGTCCAGTCTATTGGAGGAAATCTTGTAGGCTGGGCTAGTATGTGGACTACATCTAACATATTCACCTCTCATTACTTATTTCATTTGACAGTTTCTTGTGCCTCTAGTTTTTGCTTCCCTCTGGTTGCCATTTTCCAGTCTACCCAGAGGCTCTAGTGTGATGAGTTTGGCTGTTCTTATCCTTTTCTGCTCCATTACTGATCTTGTACTTCCATTTCCATGACACTTTACTTGACATCACCTTGTCTATACAGTTTATTTGGTTCATCTCACTTAGCACCAGAACAATAGAAAAAAAACATCACGTATGGAACTACCAATCACTTCATTATATTCTGTGTCTACAGATTCTGCCGAATGGCCACTGTTGCCCCAGAGGAAGTATTTATCCCAAATCCACATTGAGCTGGAGGATAAAGGTAGCGTTAACCTCATCTGACTCTACTCAGTGTCCACCTTCGAGAATGGGTTTTCTGCAAGACTGCTTCGGTTGTATATCTATATTTTAAAAAGAAAAACAAAAGAAACAGATGCAATCCTGCTCTTTGGCTCTATATCTATATTAAAAAAAACCCATAAAAAACAGAAATGATCAGGTGTAATCTTGCTCTTGCTGTCTTTAGTTGAGGTAATGCATTGCACCATCTCTCTGTGGGTATGCAATTCCAGATGATTGTGCTGGATGACAACAGTTCATGCAATCTTTGCTTACCTAGTCCCACACCACTGTGGAAGTTGATATGCAAATTTTTGTCTATGAATGGTGCTTTCCCTCTGGTTGAGATGTAGTACTTAGGAGTCAACTGTAAGTGTAACTCAGGATACACTTACAATATCTAGCAAACAATTCTTGGTGGATATGTCCATCTGGATGAGACTTGGAACCAGAACACAAGTGACTATTGCAGTGAAAAAACAACAACAAAATAACATTTGGGCAAAGAATAATCACTGCTTGAGATAGATGCAGTCTCCCCCCCCCCCTGGATTCTGCATTCTAGGTGATCCCCAGTCTTGTGAAAGTCAGACTCAATGGGCTTTCCATTTCTGTTGCTATTTCTGAAAGGAGCATATCTTTATAATTGATCAACACTGGCCCCTCCACCAGCTTAAATGTAGGATTCTAGCTTTTAGTGATGTAGAGTTGTAAGTAACATTTATGAAGCGAACATTTTCTTTACCTATAAATATATGTCAAATAGATACTTACCTCCCATACTTCTTTCCCACATCCAGTGCCCTTTGTTTGCCTCATCAAGAATGTGCCTGTGATCATGTGCTATTGCTCATGGGGATTACTACATATGGAGGTTGTGTTATCCTCATATCGATGAATGGCTACAGCATTATGATGATTACAACATAGGCTGTCACAGTACATGTGGACATGTATAGGGGTGAGAATTTGTTCAAAATTGTGGTATGCACAGGAAATTCCAAGATAGTTGTACATGAGATAATATTTCTTAGTGGTGCAGAGAGGTAAATATCTATCTGAATTTCAGGTAAAAAAAAAATTAACTTTAATTATTTCCTCTTCCACTTCTATTAGCTTATAGTGTAACTAATAAGATATTAGCACTGTATACAGGTATATATTGTTTTTGCTAACTAGTAAGTTAAAAGTAGTACATTTGAATATTTCACAGCATAAGTGGGTATTATAAGACATATAAATTCATTATTTTTTTTTAACATTGAATATTGCTTTTTTAAACATAAAAGTCTGTGGGAAATGAACAACACTGAATGTTACAAGTTGTATTGAGCTCTGTTTGCTCAAGAAGCTGTTCTGACATCATACTCTGAGACTGATTTATTAGTGGTCCTTACAGTGAAGCATTTTCACAAAAGTTCAAAATACATTGGGTTACTAAGATCTTATCAGTCTACTTCTAGAACATTTGCATGAGCATTATGCAGTATGGCAACAATGCATAAACTATACGATGGAAAGGTGATGTTAACATTAAAACGATTCATGAATACTCTTTTCTTATGCTTAATGATGTTATGCACTCTCTATAATCATACTTGATACTTTAATTTATAATAACTTGAGCAGGTTATCAATTTTCACACATACATGGATAAATAACTTAAAACTACCAATTTCAAGTGAACAATTTACTTTTTTCCAAAATATTCACACAATATTAATGAGAACTAGACTAACTGTGATGTCTAACAAAGGGTAGTTATTTGCTAATTAGGAAGAATTGAGGAACTTGTGTTCTGAATGTTTTTGAATGCTAACTGGAGTGTGATTGTTTTTTTCATCTAACCACTGATATTGAGGAATACATTGTAAATCCTGCATGGATGGTGAGGTGGGGTATTAAGCATTAATGAGAGGAAGTAAATCCACAACATAATTATATCAATTATTTTTTGTTTTCTTTCAATTACAGATGGTTTGTCAGTAGAGCCAACATTCAGAGACAAATGTGTGAAGTGTGCTACTACATGTAGATATATGGCTCTACTGACAAACTTTATATGTACACACACACACACACACACTTCTAGTCTGCAAGTTGTTCTGGGAAAGAACTTTCAGTTCCATAAATTTAAAATAGTTATTATTGTTCAACTTTGTTTAGATAGTGTACATGTGTTGTATTCAGGTATACCTATGTTTGATATCCATGCTATAAATTTGCAGATAACAGAAGGATTGAGAAGATAAGTTTGAACAATAAATAAATGAATCAAACTCAGTCAGTGAAACAGTCAGTTGTTGATCAAAACCACAAGGACACAGTCATTAATGAAAATAACATACATAACACAAAACTTAAGGAAAACAAAAACCTGTTGATCCATCTAGGCTGTTCCATCTACTAAACTAAACTTTAAAAAAGAATATCTAAACCAGCTCTTATCATTTAAATATTATCAAGCCTTCCTTTAAACTCACTGCATCTGAAAAATTTGATGACAATCCATTCTAAAGGCTAACCACCCTGTTAGAAAAATAAATTTGTTCTAGTTGAAGATGACTCCTACCCTGTCAAAATTTGTATTTGTTTCATAGACCTACCATTCTCGTCATTAAGTATGATAAAGGTGATGCATCAACACTTTAAATTCCCTTAACAATCTTGGACATGAAATCAGATCTTCTCTAGCTCTGTTTTTAAAGAAAAAAATTTGTAAAGGTTTTAACCTGTTCTCATATGACAAATTTTCTATCTCGGGTATCATCCTACTATACTTCCTCTGAACCCTTCCTAAGGTAAGGAGATCAAGACTGAACACAATACTCCAGGTGTAGCCTAACTAGTGACCTATACAATGAAAGTTTAACATAATTAAACTTATATTCAGTATTTCTACAGTTACAACCTAAAATACTATTTGTCCTACCACTAGCAACAACATATTACTTTGGATGGCTTAAGAGACTGATCAGTCAGAACACCAAGATCATTTTCTTCCATAATACCTCTGATATCCCCATAAAAGTTATTTTTATAATTTAAATTATGATAGCCCACATATATTACCTTGAATTTATTATAATTAAAAGTCATCTGCTATTTATTTATCCATCTCACCAAATAATCTAAATGCTTTTGTAAAGTAGTATTATCTTCACAGCCAGCAACACCCAAGATTTTAATATCATCAGCAAGTTTAAGTAATTTACTGACCACTCCATCTTTGTCATTGATATATATCAAAGAGAGTAAAGGTCTTAACATTGAATCCTGAGGTATCCGACTAGGTCCTAAAATTGAGCCCTGACATACCTGACTTGTGATATTAATCCAACAAGTGGTTAAGTTTTCACTACAAGTTCTTAATCGGTCAGTTTCTACAGTTTATAATTAATAGATTTAGTGGAACAGCTGAAACTTGAATGACCAATTGTGTTAACTCTTTTTGACCATGTACAATTCCTAACTGCACACAACATGAGTCAGTCTATATGATAAATTATACAAATTAGTCATTCCTCTTGCTCCCTTCATTCACAAAAATCCCGTGTGAACTAGCCACAAGTATACATATGTATGACTCAAGGAAACTGTTTAAGACAGAGAGATACAGCTTTGTATATTTAGCTTAGCAACTAGATTAAGGAAAGCTACAATTGACCACATCCTATTCACCGTGATGCTCATAAACATGAAAAGATAAATGAAGATTTGAAAAAATGTATTGGAGTGTTTGAATAAAACACATTAATGTAAAAGTGTAATTGAAAGCATAATTTTGTTTTCTTTGTTCCTGTACTTGTAGAATTAGCGTATGTGAATTTAAGATGGTAAAAACTTTTTTGCCACTTTCCTGGTAGCATAATTTATAGATTAATAATAAACATACAATAGCATAGTCTTTTACAGTACATGTGCTTTAAAAATAATTTAAATTTCATGATTTACTTTTAAAATTAGAAGACCATTTCATTACCCGTCTATGAGCAACCTTGGCAATATTAATGAAGACCAGAGCATTGAAGTGTCAGCAACTGTCTCTCGGCATCGTTATTATAGTAAGCTAACTGATCCTTCACTTGACACATTAGTGAGTATTGTGCACTAAAATCTTGCTGTTTGATTTTTATTTTGATCATCTTTCCACTATAAGACCTATATTATGTCAATTAGAAAGGTTTAAAGTATTAGTAACGTTTTTTATAACTGATTCCAAACCAAAAGTGACTTTTTCATCACTAAACATACCTATTATTAACTAAAAGGGTTCAACTGCATACATAGCAGGTATACAGTTCCTTTTTTTGTATTATTTTTTCTGCTATTTTATTCCTTTGCCAGCTATTATGTATGAAGGCTACTTCATAGACTTGCATTGTGTGTTAACAATGAAAACATTTATGTCCTTGGTTGTCTTGTACCTGGTTTTTAGCGACTTATATATACACATCAGATTAGAAGTTTGTTTCATTCTGAGTTTAAGACTTATTACAATGCATTCAGTTATTTTAGCAATTTTTAACTCTCAATGTGTTAATGAATTTGACCTCTACAGATACATTTTAACTTGATTTATACACCTCAAAATTTCATGCTATTTAACTTTGAAACTGCAGTTTTATCATGCTTGCTGAACTCATGGAAGAGCAAAATGTTAAGTTTTTTTATGTTCTATGGGGCATACCATTGTATTTTAATGCAACTACACATATAAAACAGGTATGCATTTTCCTTTTTTTGTACACATATGGTTTTCCATCATGGTCTTTTTTGTGTATATTTTAGAAACAGGATGGGCATTACAGTCAAGATGTGGGGAAATACCGTTTCACATAAAAGCTCAAAATGTATACTGTTCTCACCTGTAATAATTGCATTTGCCTCTAATTATGAGCTTCCAAACTTAGAAATTCATAGACCCATGCAACAGACGATGTGATACATGATTTCAGTATTATTTACTTTTTTCTTTCATTACCTCCACCACTGAAGGTGATGGAAGTTATGTTTTCACCCTTGTGTGTGTTTCTCAGTAGGATTTCTGAAATAATGGATTTGAATGAAAGTTCGTATACATTTAGTCTATGACCCAACATAGAAGTGATTAGTTTTTGGAGGGTCAAGGTCAGAATAATAAAAAACTCCCTATCTGTTAGTATGGGATATGGTTTTTCATACTATTTTTGATCTACTACTCAGTCAAAAGTTATTGAATTCTTATTAAACTAGGAGGACATGTGTAACATATTATTCGTCATTGTTCTGCCAAAAATGGTCAATGCCCATTAATAGCAATGGATGTACGGACACATTTTTGTATTTTTTGAGGGCCAACTATGATCGACACTGCGTGGCAGAGATATGCGCTCTACCGAGTGCCCCTCTAGTTGTAGAAGTAACAGTATGATACTTACTATTGTCCCATGATTTGAAGTATGTTATATTTTAACTTTTTTCTTCCTTCTAAATGAATAATTCTGAGTTTATTTCTTACTTTCTGTTTGCTCATGTTTGCTTTGTTGTGTTAGTTTTATGATAGATACATTAATGCTTCTGGAAATTTTAGAAATAAATAGAAGTTTAAAAATAAATCCAGAAAAATTCTAAATGACCAAACCAACTTGAGCTCCTCCCCACTTCTTACCCCACTTATTTCTAAGTGAATGTTAAGGTCACTTCTGGTTCTTTGTTCAAACATATATAAACCTTTTACAAAACATTTCAGTTTATACCTGTTTATGCCTTTAATGGCAAAAACCATGGTCATGAATAAATGATGTATTTGTGAAACATACAATTCTTTTGTTTTTTCTCAATTCTGTAATAAGTTTAAAAAATGAAAACAAGTGTGTTATATCAGAAAGTTTTGTTTTTTAATTTTTGAACTTGGGGATATTTGATGCTAATAATAGAAAGTATTTTTTTTTTTGAAAAACTCAATATATTTTAGTAAATTCAAATTTTTAATGACTTGTAGAATACATAAGAGAGAATTTTCATTCATTTGGTAGTTCACAGCTTAGTAAGTTTTGTTAAAAATTTATGATTCTTAATTGCTATATGTATGTATTAAAGCTTTTTATGTTATTCAATGCTAATATTTTAATAGATTTCCTAAATTAGTATTAATTATACATTTAACTGTTCTCATAAAATTAGGTTTATACATTTTATACAGACTTAGTCTGTATCATAGTGTTTTCCTGTAATTTTTGTAAGAGACACTTCTGAAGAAAAAGTACAGTGCACTTCTGCATATTTTATGACCCTGTTTTATTTTTTACAAACAAATTTAACATAATACTTGTGTAATGACCCCCCCCCTTCACTCACTGCTCATAACTGTTTTTTTTAAGTATACTGTATATAGTAACAATGGATGTTTTCAATAAGAGGTGGTACTGCCATTTTTATCTATAACTACAGCTATTGTGCTTTATGGTACTTGTATAATTTTGTATATCCAAATAGAGTTGTATATCCAAATATGTTTTATAGAGCACATAAGTCAGGAGAGCCTTGTTTTATAGTAATTTTTCAAACATTTTAGCTTGCAGTGTTAAAACCAATTAGGATGTGAATTGCTGTTTATGCACATACATTTTATTTTAGCAAGCGAGATATTAATAGTGATTTTGAATTTCACAGAAAATTCCTGACCATGTGGTACCATCATATTTCTTCTATCCTTTTCCATTTCGAAAACTTGTTGGGAAACAAAGTAGTATTATAACCATGTAAGTATTGAAATTGAAACATAATTTGTAATGCTGTAATAGCATGAACATTGAAGCAATGGTAGTTATCAATTGATTACATGTAGGTGCAGTTACATGTGTAAAACTAAAACAGTATCCTAAATTGAAAGAGGAAAAAAAAGTATTTTAATCACTGAAATTTAAAAAAAAAAGTGCTATCTAAAATATGGGCAATGAAAAACATAAAAAATGTTTTTAATGAATAATCAACCTTTAACTACAAGTTTTAATATTGCCAAAACATGCAGAGTAATTACAATTTGTAATTTTTAATTGATTATTCATCAAAAAAATATGTTGTTTTTTATGTTTCATTGAATTTATGAACAAGTCAGCCACTACTTAAATTTCAATTTAAATATATTTCCTTGTTATAACTGATCACAAATTGTAATAAGAAATTAGTGAATGTTTCCTATTGACATATACAATATTCTTTGTAATATCTTTTTTGATGTTTATAGAATTATATAAATTGTAAAAATTTCAGTGATTTTAAACAAGAAAAATTAAACAAACTTTTGTTATTGTTTTATAACTTTCTAGATGTGTTTTCTATGTTAATTTATGTGGTATACTATTAAGAAGATGTATGTTTTTATTTGGATTGTATTAGATTCTCAATATGGAACACTATGATGGGGACTTCTTTATTGAGTATGCCATGGGCAGTCCAACAAGTGAGTACAATTTAATCAAAGTAACAAAGTAAAAGAAGAATAAAAATCTTGTGATACTTGCTCTTCACGTGCCAAAATGCTAACTGATAAAGAAAGTACATGTTACATTTCAATTAAGATAGAAACTGTTCTAACAAACTGATTTTGAGGCTGTTGTTCCTTAGTTAACCCCATTATAACTGCTGTGCATCTTTTTGGTGTTGAGTGCATAGTAGTTTACCAACTTGCAAAATTTAACTCTCTCATTGGCATGGGCACATATATGGGACATATTACAAAAATTAATTTTAAGCGCAGATGTTATATTAAGTAAATGTTTTGTGAAATAGGTATGTAGTAAAATTTTAAAAAGTTAAAATTTTGCATATTAATTTGCAAATTTTTGAAAATAAGTATACAGATAATTGTTTTAATTGACATTTCTTACAGTCTTAGAGTATAATCATTTTTGAAATATTTTTTTCTCAACAAATTCTTAATATGGCATGTAATAAGCAAGAGATAAATATAAACCATACAACATCACATATGTTTCTGTGTGTATCTAAAAATAAACCTAGCAGTAGGAGAGTTTTTTATCTATGAATATGGCAGTGAAAGAATTAATTAAAAAAAAAAGATAATTCTAATTATTTCAAGTTTTTTACTAAAAATATTTTATAACTGATATTTTATAATATACAACATTTGTTTAGGATATTTGACAAAGAAAAAATGTTACAGCTTTAATTTCTGGCTTGTTGATATTTTAAATACTTGAAGTTCCCATAGGAGTGAACAGAGGATCCTTTTTAGGAGTTTACAATACTTAGGAATAAACAACAGATCTAAAAAATTTTTTACAAATTCTTTTGATGTTTTCTTCATTCCTGAAAATAGTTTTGTGTTATATTATATCTGCTTGACAGCTATAAGAATATTCGTTTATCACAAGACATGTGGAAGTTTAGTTAGGTTGAGCAGCTATTATAAGTGATGAAAAACAGTTTACATTGTACATGATATAAATCCTTTTTTCTATTGACTATTATCTTTGAGTTTATTATATTCAAACAGCATATGCAAATAAAAGAAATTATTTATTGAAAACAAACCATATTTATTAAATACAAATTCAACTTAACCAAAAGTAGTGTTGGCAAAATCTCACATTAGCTAGCCTGACAAAGGTAGTAGTGATGCCATTTTGATAGGTAAGTAGTTACCATATTTTGTTAGTTTGTTGTGTGTTTTGTATGATTTACAGCTGGAACTGGTGACTGCTTCAAATCAGGAAAATAAAGTATTAAAAGAAATACATCAATGAATATGAGACAAGTTGACACTACAGATATATTAAGTGGAACTTACTGATCAATCATGAAAACAAAATTGAAACTGTATATGAATATTTGCATGTTCTTGTAACAAAATTGTGAAAGTTCACAACTTAAAAAATGATACAAATAGTAAATCATAAACTAGATACTATCTAGAAATTTGTACTAAATTTCATGCCATTTAATATAGTATTTCTACTGTGAGAAGGAAAAACTTCAGGGGATATCAGTGACACCCCTATGAAGGCTTAATGGAATATATTTTTTATCTCATTTCACAGAAAATTTACCTGTGTTACAATTTTAAATATGTACTGTGATGGTTTTACAGACTCGTATTTGCTAATTTTGAAAGAGAACCTTTACCTTACTATCATTTTGGGTTTTCTTAGAGGATTAGCAAGAGGGAGACATTAAAAATCTATTTTATTAAAGCAACTGCTGTGAGAAGCTGCTTTGTTTTATGTATTTGGTTTAAGGTTATTTGGTATAAGGCAAATTTGTGTAGGTACTGATAGTATTTCAACATAAAAAAGAACAAAAATATTATATATATTAACCACCAAATAAGGCCAAACCAACAAAAAGCAAAAGAACAATGAAAGGAAAAAGGAAGGAAAAACAACAAAAAATCAAAATATTAACACATGCAGAGTTACAGGAGACAAGTTATAACGTGGAGGTGTATAGGATGTATCCTAGAGGTATCTCCAGAAGAAAGTTCTACTTATAAGTAGGGGGGTGCAACATTTATTAAATTTAACCTTTTACCCTCTCTTAATGAACAGCTCAAAGGGTGAATGTTACGTCATTTTAGAGTGTTATTTTCAAAAGTTAGTTAATCAACTTTATTATTATTGTATGTCAGTTAAATTAGCTTCACAATGTAGTTTATTACTCAAATGTTAATATAATATATGTTTTAATTTCTTAATTCAAAAAAGAAAATTTTAAAAATGGTAAATATGCTTTTTTATGTGTTATGTGGCATGTCTTTCTGCTCAATTTACATTTTATTATGCCTACTATACAATATCTGTAGTGGTTAACGAATTAGAAACTGAAACCTCGGACATTTACAAGCTAGAATTTAAAATAATAGCCTCACACATTTTTGATTTGCTATGATATCAATATATTTTACTAACTTGTGAGGGTAGACCTACCTACTGCTCCATTTCCAAAAGAGTATTACCTTCTCTCACCCAAAACTTTTTCGACCTTGATTTTCCCTTTAAGCATTGCTAACAAAATGTTCACTAAAAGTGCACAAATTTATTATACACCTTTATTTTCGAGCCATTTCAGAATATGTGCATATTATGTAACTACCATACACCAATCATATTGCACCATCTATACTGGTGCAGGTAGCTCCCTTTATTAATATAGCACAATCCTCACTTTCTTTATTGGCATTACAGTGTATATATGTATGTGTACTTCACTCCATGTGCTTGCTTTTTTGTTGTGAATGCATTTTAGTCCTTCACCAGTTTAAACTTAGTGTTTGTTTTAAAATTAAAATTTTGTTTTTTGTAGAATTATTCCATAATTTGAAATATGAATTTAAATTTTATGGTGACAGATGATGAAGTTCCCACCAACATTGAGGATAGTAATATCACTAATCCCCAGTCTGAGGAAGAATTTATTCAGGGTGAGGATAATTTGGATTCTATTTTTCCATCCCCAGTTTTTTGGTCAATCACATAATGCTGACGATCAGGAAAGTTTGCTGACCTCTCTGTTCCTAAAACCTTATTGATCAGGTATGTCAAATTTTAAATATTTCACCCTATTGGGTGAAGAACCTCCTCCCTCACCCGTAATTTGAGTTCATGCTCAACATTTTGCTGATCAGTTGCAGGTATGCCCCATTTTCTTTGCGTAACCAATATCCTTTCACTTACCAGTAGGCCTTAAATCCTTTTTTGGATTCTCAATGTCTGGACCCTCCCTTTTCCCTGTGGGGCTTGAATCTGGGGGCTCTGGTCCACTTTTGTAGGATTCATCTTTCCCTGACCAACCACCCATTTGCGTATTATTTTCTCATTACAGTAGTTGTCTCAAGCCTTTTGCCAGACACCTGATCAATTTTCTCATGACCGTAGGACCCCTACTGTGGTCTACTCTGCATTTTCTCTCAACACCTGGTTATTACGGTGTTGGGATTTGCTGGGGAGAGATGTATTACTTGAGGGGGTGCATCTCCCCCTGTCTTCTTTGAGGGATCTTCGTCAGGCCCCTATTTCTGAGTGAAACAGTTTTTGGGTCATTGCTTGAGTCTTTGGAGTCTAGGTTTTATGTTGTGAGGCTACATTCCTCCTTGGCCTCCCTGACATCTCATTTGCTTTATCTAGCTGTTCCCGCCCAAGCTTCACCAGTTCGAGTTCCCCATGCCATTTCTTCCTCTCCCCATCCCATACCCTATTCCAGGCATTTCTGCCCCTACATTTGTTTTCCCCTTCCTGTTCCTCCAGGAGTCAGCAGTGTAGGTGACAAAATGTATTTTCCAGGGTAGGTGGGTCCTGGTTGCAACTGTTTGCCATATCTTCATGACAGATCTGTGGGTCCTGTCAGAGGGTCTTTGTCTTCAGTTCAGGTTCCCCCACCCCCTGTCCTATTCCCCAGTTTTTTCCCTCCTCCTCATGATTGTGCCTCATCCAGTCGCCGAGTCAGTTTGGGACCTCCTACACAAAGGAGCTATTGAACAGGTCATGCCCACTCATCTGTGATTTTACTCCCATCTATTTGTTGTCCCCAAAAAGAAGGGAGATTGGAGACCCATTATAGATCTGTCCTTGCTGAATACCTTTCTGGAGACACTTTGGTTAACCATGGAGTCCTACTTATCCCTTTGGTGGGTTTTTTCTAGATGACAAAGGTTGATGTGACAGACACCTATTTTCATATTCCCACAGCTCCAATGTCACGTAATTTTCTTCAGTTCATCCAGATGAGGGCTGTGTTTTTCAGTTCCGTGCACTGCAATTTGGTCTGGCTTCGGCTCCTTATGAGTTATGTCAAGTGGTTCACTCGTTTGCTCATTATATTCACTTACTGGGTCTTTGGACTCATCATTACATGGATGACTGGCTTCTGCTTGCCTCTTCCCAGGCCCAGTCAGTCTCTCACACCTGATTACTTTTTTGAGAAGCTGCTCGGATGGGGTTTCTTATCATGTTGGAGAAGTACCTTCTAACCCATACACAATATCTTATTCATTTAGGGGTTATCTTCAATTCCTATCTCTCTGGGGCCCAGCCTTCTCCACTTTGGCTCAGGGATATGGAGCAAGAAGTCATAAAGCACTAGATTCATCTTCTCTCATTGCACGAGAGGTTCTATCTTTTTTGGGGACATGGGCTTCCTTGGAAGTTCTCATTCCTTTGGGTCAAGCACACATGCATTTTCATTCAGTGGATGCTTATTGACCAGTGGAACCTCTCTCACAATCTCTTAGATCATCTTATCACCCACCCTCCTGGGATCAGGACTGACCTTGCATGATGGCTCGACAGGGAAATGACCATGATGGGGGTTCCCATTCTTCTGCCTCATCCTAATGCTTCTTTGGTAAGTTGGGGATCTTCCTTCGAATCCAAGGAGATTTCAGGGGCAGTGCTCAGTCGTGGAAACTACATTTCTTATCAATCTCCTTGAACTTTTGGCTGTTCA